TAAAAAAGAAACAAAAAAAATATTAAGGTACATTTGAGACAGTAGATAAACCCTTTTTTCTTCCCTTTGACATTGTGACATTAATGTGTACAGGAACACTTTCAGTTGTCTGTTTTAATAAAACTATTTGCACTAAACATTTGGTCTCCCTATCAATTATCTATTAAAGGGACGGATGCGCCATTTTTGGGGGTTGTTTTAGTGTTTTGAATATATGTAAATAGTCTTCACAAGTACTAGAACTGCAAGAAAACAGCATAATTTCTTCAAAAATACCTCAAACTAGAAATTTTCACTTTCTATTTCTGTTTGTCTTTTCTATATATGACAGAGTCTCAAGACTGTCATCATTTTAGCTTTCAAATGCAGATAATTCTTGACACACATTGATTTGAAGGCTCAAATTTTGACAGTGAACTGTGAACACTATTACTGATAGTCTCAAATCTTTTAGTATTGTAAGATTGGTATAACTTTATAGAACATCAACCACAGGTTAAAGTTTTAGACAACAATTTCAGGTTCTTCTTTTGGTATCCTCAGGCACATAGCGATTAAAAAATTATAGGCAAACTATATATAAATCAAGACCTTACCCATTACTATTGGTAGTTAACATAGGTGACTGTGTTCTAGGTGAGGTAGTGCCCACATCACTACATAATAGTGAGATTTTCTTACTGCATATATAAGCCAACTTTCTTGATAATAACGCAGAGTTAGTTACCTCATCCATATACTGGAAATAAAAAAATAAATATTCTATTATAAAAATTTTAAAGGGACTGGCGCGACATTTTGGGGTGTATACTTTAGTCTTGAATTTATGTTAATAGTCTTCAGAATGCTCGAAATGTACGAAAATCACATAATTAAAAATACTTCAAACTAGGAATTTTACTCACTATTTCTATAGATATCTTTTCTATATATCACAGAGTATGTCATTGAAGGCTTAAATTTCAACGGAGAGCTGTGAACACTATTACTGATTGGCTAAGCTAAAAATTGCCGTTTCTGAGACTAAAGTATGATTGTTCAAAAGAAATGGTTCATCTGTTCCTTTAACATGATAACATCTATACTTACATGTAATATTTGAAATATGATAAGTTTTAATACAGTATCATCTGGTTGTTTCATTTTTTCTAGTAATTCAACCAGCCATGACAGATATTCATGTCTATCTAATAATCCTTCCTGTAAATTATAAATATAACTGTTTTTAATCATATGACCTATCACAATAATTAGCAAACCTTTATCAAAAGTTCCAATGAGTTTCTGAGTCAGCAAGCAAAAGTATAATGACCTTGGATTAAGTTATCTTCATTTAATATTCCAGTTGATTTAAGCGTAATCCAGAAAGATCAGCGCCAACAGGTTTGACCAAGGATCAGCTGGTAGACAGAAACCTCCTGAACCATGCTGTTTTACTTAGAAAAATCATATCTTTGTAATAAATGTAGACATGAGAATAAGTTCTACTTGTCCAACTTCAGTGGGGTGAAAATAGGTCTGTTATCTTAAGACCCCATGTGCAGTATGAAACTCTTAGAACAACATGTTTCAGGCTCTGCTAACTGCAGGTCAAAAAGTCATTGGGATAAATGTTCAAGAGCACTGTGTTAGACCTTGCTTGAAGTGGCTGCATTAAAATTAAAATTAAAAGTTAATAAAAAAAACTCGAATGAAAGTTTGGTAGTTGATATCAATGGCATAAGATGATCCATGTATGGAGCATTTCCCAATAACTGGTGTATCTTTTGAGTCATACATAATACTTACATTATAGGTGTGTCTAGCTAAACGACAGCAATAGTTCCATTGTTTTAAAGCAATTTCCATATCTGACTGTAATGGTGTGTGAGCTGTTAGAAAACTAGTCTGTGTTGCTGAACCTCCATGGTAAAATTCTTGTATCTTCTGTAGTTGATCTTTTAAATATTTGGTTAAAGCTATAGCCCATTCTAAAACATACAAGATTAGCTGTCTTGAAACATAATCCAAAACCTTTTTTATCCACTTATCCACACCTTTACTGTCAAATAATCTTGAAATCCTGCTGTTGAACTAATTTCTGGTTTGTTAAACAATAAGAGAGTAATTTCCCTTCCCATTTTCAGAACAAGGTTCACTTTTATAACACCTGATATAAAAATTCCCAATTATGTATCTCTACAGAATTTAATATTAACTCCCCTAATTAGTAAGTTGTGCTATATCAACTCCCCTAATTAGTAAGTTGTGCTATATCAACTCCCATAATTAGTAAGTTGTGCTATATTAACTCCCTTAATTAGTAAGTTGTGCTATATTAACTCCCCTTATTAGTAAGTTTTTCTGTTCTACACCCTCAAAAATGTGTGTCAATAACCAGAAAAAAAAAATTGTCAATTGCAAACAAAAAGGCACATTTTTTTTTTCATCGCAAAAACAAAGGCAATTTTTTTTTTCAATTGCAAACAAAAAGGCAATTTTTTTTTTTCAATTGCAAACAAAAAGGCAATTTTTTTTTTCAATTGCAAACAAAAAGGCAATTTTTTTTTTTTCAATTGCAAACAAAAAGGCAATTTTTTTTTTTTTCAATTGCAAACAACAAGGCACATTTTTTTTTCATTTTCAAACAGACAGGCAATTTTTTTTTTCAATAACAAACAAAAATGCAAAATTTCAGACATTAGAATCTTTCGTAAAGAAATTAAGCTCAATTTCCTGTCTATTTCAATTCATTTGCAAAGGAACCTCAAGTGTGCTTTTGAAAAGCTATAACAGTTCTTGAAATTATGCTCTATTAATCTTTTAAAATTAAAAATTTAAATTGCTTTATCACCCTCATACATAAATTAAATCTAAATACCTGAAGCTTGATCAACTGTTTGCCTTCTTTTACCATTCCTATTTTCCATTGTAGCACTATTATAGACAGCCATCATTTTAATAAACCACGAAGCTCGTACCATAGAGATATTATATTCACAAAGAGTAGAAAATACATCTTCTTTACGATTTAATAATGGTACCTGAAACACAAGTCATAATGAACTTTCAGGACTCACTGTATGAAAGAAGGATGACCCCTCTGAGATGCATTACTTACAATAGCACAAAAACTTTATTTAAAGGGACAGGTGCACCATTCTTTTCTATGCAAGGTCAAATATTGTGGTTTTGTTTTATTGTCCCACCCTTACCATTAGACACTTCACTTCCATCTCATCTCCTCCAACCTGCACTACTGACAAGGGGAAATCAGTTTGCATTTCACAATCTTAAGAGGAATTGAACCGAAGGTGCCCAAAAATAAAATTGAAATTTCAAAACTTACCCGTTTACCCATCTGCGATAGAGGTTTATCATTAGCTAGATCTTTAAACCATGCCTCCATAACAGCTGGTTTACTTCGACCCTAAAATAACCCGAATACACACAAATCAACAAACAATGATAATATCATCTTATTAAGCTTGGTAACTATACTTTACCAAAATACAAAAGTATGACAGACAGCCATGTTCCTCTTCTTAAAGGAACTATCTCTCAAGAGTGGGATTAACAAAACCAAAGTTTGTGTAAAAGCACCAAATATAATGACCAGATTCTATCCATGACTTACATGCCAGAAGATCTCTTTCTGTGGTAAGGTTGGTCTCTTTTTACTGTCTTGGAGAGTATTGTATTCCATTTTCTTGGTAAGAACAGAACTAAAGTAGGTACCAAACTAAAATAAAACAAAGTTTTTTTAATGATTAGTACAAGTTAGTGTTTAAATCTAGTCATACCTTTATGGAATTACTGAAACACCAGAAGGATTGCTAACACAGACAATAATTTAATCCGAAGTTTCTTAGTTCTTCAACTCAAAATTAAGAACATGAAGAAAAGTATTGCTATTCTGTGTACAATGGGGGTAATTTTGTGATGTATAATAAACTAATCATATCTCAGCAGGGAATATTAAACAGAATTATAGGCATATTTATATAACTCACCTTATCAATAGTAATATCAGCATTTTTCTCAGATCCATGCTATAAATATACACAAAAAACATTTAGAAAAATGAATAAGACAAATTAGAAAATGAAAAGCATTCAAAACTCTTCTGTAGCAGGTTTTTCTCCTTGTTTTGATAAAGCAACATGGAACACTGATCAATCGAAATTTCAAAGGAAAACTCAGACTTGTGTATTGTTTTGAGTCATCTTCACAATGTCGAGCAATTACAAGCGTTGTACTTATACTTTGACTACAATAGTCGCCTTTCATGTATCACATAAATGAAGCGATTTGATTGGATTGTACTCAAGCAAATTCAGCCATTCAGAGGTCTCGACTGAAAGTCTGTGAATACAGCTATAATGTTTACAGCCTTTCTGTGATAGGTTGTATTCGTTGGGGTACGTTCCTATACAAGAATTTAGTGACTATTGCAGTCAAGGTATAAGTATGAAGTTTGTAATAGCTTGACATTGTGAATATGGTTGAGGGTGTGCTTCTTGCTGGTATGGGCCTACTATTTTCTCAATAGAACTTACCTCATCTGAGAACTGTGGCATATTACTAAATCCATGTTTAACACTGCTTTGATTGAGTTCATCCTTAAAAGTAAAAGCAAATAATTACACATTTTAAAATCTGAGCTAATAATACCAAGCATTTCTGCAATAACTTGATGCACATATTGGAATTTTTATGGGAGTCATGGCTACGCGCTTACTTCGAAACTGAAGGTCCAGGGTTCAAGACCTGCATTCTTCAACTCGTTTCCTCCTGTCAGGGATACAGGTCTGAGAGTCCTTTCCTTTAGATGGGACAATAAACAAAGGTCTCATGGCCTACAGCCCTGACAGATTGTCCATCGACAGTTGCAAATCGAAAAAGAGTAGGCTAATGCAGAGTGAGAATGTCATCTCCATTTCGACTGGCAGTTATTAATAGAAAGAACAAGCACCTGTTTCAAAATGTGTACTTGAATTGTTGAGTAAAGGGCTACATCGATCAGACACGCAAGATTAACAATTGAATAGATGCACTGGTTATCAATTCTACAATAATGCCATTAACATGTAGACCTAATTATCATTCTACAAGAGTTGCATCCATCATTTGAATTCATTAACTTGCCTCTTCCCTGGACAAGTGAAACCAAAAACAGGATTGACCACGTCCAAATTCATGGAAGATAGGACATAACTGACCCCAAAACTAACGCATATTAATATAAAGCCTAAGGTGCTTACCTCACGCTGTTTGTGTTCTTGAGGATAAACGTCAGGTGGTCCTAAAGATTGTTTTTTCAATGGCCGATGTTCTTGACTTGGGTACGCGGCCATTTTCTTTATTATCAATATTGACAGAAAGGTGAAGGTCACAAAAAGTCGGAAATGGCTTCGGTAAATTCCGGGTATCTCCGTTATCTACATTCGTAATCGGCAAACTACGTAAAATATTCCGGGGATTTAAAGCTCATTGAACCAAAACTTAAAAAGTTTTAATAAGATAAATCATATATAGACACAGCTTTATGGAACATCAATCACAGGTTAAAGTTTTATCTGCGTCTATATATCGAACTCACAATTGCTAAATGCCATTGAAACACTTTAAGATAAATTATATTTAGAAATGTTTAGGCCAGTGCTGTTTTTCATCTAAGAAAATTTATATCCCTACTTGACCAGCATTTTTAATTAAAAATTCGATTAACACATTACTTAATTGAGTAATTAGATAAAAATTTGCCTTAAAAATTTGACGAAAACTGCTTATTCAGGATGCAGGCTTGTTGTTCCTTTAAATATTTACCTACCAGTTCGACTTCTGGTTGGTCTACAATGAGGGCAACGACTGAAATAGGTATCATAGTCAATCATGAGCATTTTCAAAAGAAGTTGTCACCAATAACACCATAATATCTTTATATCTGCGGGTAGGCTATATTATTTTGTGTGATTTCAGAAATAACCCATGATCTAGTATATATAACCATGTAGGCCTATATAAGTTACGATCATTGATTTGACTGGTGACGCCATGCAGGGTGCAATAAGGGAAATTTTGCCGCGGCTCCCCCTGACAATGAGGCATGAGGCAATGATAACATAACATAGGCGTAGGTGAGATTGATTTGGAAGGAAGTGTGGGGGAGGGGGCGGCTGTGTCATTCAATGCTCTCCACAGAATATACCGTTTATTTATACAAGACAGGAATTTCGTAAGGCCTGCTACTACTGAAAAATGTCCTCATTTCACGGCAAGTGTTTTTGAAAATAATCTGGTATCACTCATAGCTTTTTTTTTATCTGCCGGCATTATAATACCAAACAACATCAAAGACACTTAATGCGATTAATTTGTAGATTTAAGATTATAGCTTCTATGAGTTTGGACGATATGTTTAATGTACACAGACACATGTAATATACGGTAAATAAGATAAGGATGGTAGCTCAACCGCATACATTCGAAACTGGTTCTTAGATGGTAATAACACACGAACGTAGTTTACGGCCATTTTGAATCTATTCCTCGACTTAATTAGTCGATTTTCTAACAAGCCTATAATATTTCAACGGGGCCTTCAATACACATTTAAAGCCATTTCTAAACCTTTAAACGTGATTTGAAGGCTTAGTTGAAATAATGTAGACTTTATCAAAATTCGACTTATTTAGTCGAGGAAGAGATTCAAAATGGTTGTGAACTACGTTCGTGTGTTATATCCATACATAGTTTCGTATGATCTGTATTCTGTAGCCAAACAAATTTACCACAAGTTTTATGTCACAATTAAAACAGTTGAAAGGATGTCGAGGATATTATATTACCATTATGCTCTTCATTCTTTATGAATTATGAATGCTGTTGCAGAAGAGCGAAATTGCACAACTGGATAATCAAAATATAATGAAGGGATGGTAAGTAGTCGCGATTAAATAGGATTAATTATTGATACCGAATATTGCAATACTATGATTTAAAAGCGATTTTAAACTCGGTTTTCTAAACTTTTCTAAATATTGTATAAGGGACTCTGATAGCATCGATTTGCAATATTTTGATTTTAAGTCAGACGTGTTTGGTTTATTCAAGTGTACTAAAATTAAGCGTTTATCAAGTGGCATTAGGTGATAGTGACGTCATAAACACTTATCTTTAGTTGAATTGCAAGAACCACAGACGTCTGACTGAAAATTGGTATGGTACAAATCGATTCTATCAGTGTTCCCGATATATATAAAAAGAAATGAGCAAACCTCTTTACAATCCCTTTAAACTGACCAATGACGTTGATGTAACCCTTTATTAAGACTACTTCGGACTTCTATATCAAAGGTTGCGCAATGTCGCCTGACTCGTGAACCTCCGATAAATCAAAATCTTTAACCTGTTAATAATTTCCGTTATTGTACTTTATTTTGACATTGAACTGCAATCTCATTTCCCTTCCAAGTAAATTCTCTTGCAGTATCAAAGGTTACATGATTTCGCCCGTCTAACTCGTACACCCATGTGGAATCTTATTCTGAAACATGTAAATAATTTCCGTTATTTCACTATATTTAGATTTAGAAGTGAAATTGCATTTCTTCCCATGTAAATTCTCCTCAATAAAATGGAGTGGAGATCGGGATAAGATTAGGAGAGGTAATATCAAGCAATTTGTACGGTAGCTTTAGGTAGTCTTTAGTAATAATCATTAGTCACACAAGACAATTACTTGCTGTTTGAAATAGGGTACTTGTACTAATACCATTACCATTCCAACCAACCAGAAAGAATTGAATAATGGCCGAGTTTTTACCACACAGAATTAAGTCTTGAGATTCAAAGACGATTGCCTGCGATCTTTTGACCTGTTTTTTTTTTCTTGGCGAGTCTACTGATAAAACGTTTATTGATCAGAACAAAGATGAACATCAGAACATAGATGGATATCAGAACATAGATGAACATCAGAACATAGATGGACATCAGAACATAGATGAACCTCAGAACATAGATGAACATCAGAACATAGATGATCATCCGAATATTGATTGACATCAGAACGCAGATGAACATCAGAACATAGATGAACATCAGAACGTAGATGAACATCAGAACATGGATGAAAATCTGAACATAGATGAACATCAGAACATTGATGAAAATCTGAACACTGATGAAAATCAGAACATTGATGAAAATCAGAACATTGACGATCATCCGAATATAGATTGATATCAGAACTTAAATGAACATAAGAAAAAAGATGAACATCAGAACTTAATGAACATAATAACGATGATGGACATCATAACATAGGAACATAGATGGACATTAGAACATCAATGAACATAGGAACATTGATGATCAGCAAAACATTGATGGACATATGAACGTATATGAAAATCAAAAATAGATGGACATCAGACAGTACAAGGACATCAAAACATTGATAAAAATGAGCAGAGCATCAGAAATAGATGGGCATCAGAACATTGATGGCAATCAACACATTGATGGACATAAGAACACTGATGCATCTTAGAACATAAGTGAACATCAGAACATTGATGGAAATCAGAACATTGTTGTTATCAGAACATTGCATTACTATTTAAGGAAATCAGAACATATAGATGATTTCTTAATCATATCATTATGATCTTATTGCATATAATTAAGAGTTTTAACCAATTATAAATGTCCATGTATGTACAGTCTGGATAAAAAAAAAAATACTTTTTGACCTTTCTGGATCGGTCACTCAATGGAAGCCTGCTGGTAATTATCTTCTTATTTAGCTAATTATGAATTAATTATAGACATGTGAGACAAACTGGTATTTTTCCAAGACATTAGAACTTTCATCTACTTTCTATTCATATAAGTATTGGCATTTTCATTTTCATAAATGAAAATAAGGGAATCCATCTTTAAATCCCAAATTATGACCAATGGACGTCACTACCACACGTAGCCTACAAAACTATCCAATTTATCACGAGGTATAGATATTGACTGTTCAAGGCTATGATTCTTTAAATCATTGTATTTGTCAGGAAAAGCCAGAGGAATAAATGATAGTCAAGAAATCAGTCAGTAATTCCCTGTCTGGTCATATTAAATGTTGTAGATTGTACGTTAAATTGTCTATACCAAGAAAATTCAAAGGGAGCTAGAGGGTCAACTCGAGATTAACACGAATTCATCGGAGATGAAAGGCTCATATTGAAAAATTGACAGTACAATCAACTACTTATGGTAGCAGATTCCGACCGTTCAGCAAGTGACAACCTAGCCCGACAAAAATGGTCGTCACAATCACATCCGTAAATCACGTCGAAGCACTGGTAGGACAAAATTTGTCAGGCTTGTGACAACCAGCTTTTATTAAAGCTGTGAAGTAGAACGCGAGTAATTTTTGGCAACTGACGACAATTACAATCAGTTTTTGATGTATTCAGGTCTAACTTAAAATCCAGCGATTTATCAAGTTATTTAGAAGCTAGAAGTCTCTTATTGCTACTATGTTAGTTGTCAGCAGTAACGTATTCTAGGCAGATGGCCCATGAAAAGTCTTATTTTGAAGTGAAAATTAAGCCCCCTAAATGTTCAAAATTCATCTTAGGTTAAATAAACTCCGTTGGCTTCTGGGAGCTTCTGTAAGTCCCCCGGCCTCAATGGGCTTCATCCTTTACAGCCTCGCCGTGGACGGACACCTTTCCCTTTTTTGCTTCTCCCCTAAGGCATTTTCTAGATACGCCCGGTTCTTGACGAGTACCATTCGCCAAACCGGACCCCCAGCACCTGTTGGTTTCTGGTTCTCTCCAAATTCAGTTTTGGCTAATTTTCGATTTGCATTTCAAATGAATTCGATATCATTTGTTCCTTAATGTTTTGACCAAACATACTTTAGTCTCAGAAACTGGAATTTTTTAGCTAAGCTAATCAGTAATAGTTTTCACAACTCAATGTCGAAATTTGAGCCTTCAAATCCGTGTGTGTCCAGAATTATCCGCGTTTGAATGTTAAAATGACGACTCTTCATTTTAAGATACTCTGTGATATATTGATATAGAAATAGTGAGTAAATTTTAGTTTGAAGTGTTTTTAAAGGACTTTTTACATATACTCAAGACTAAAGTCGACCCCCAAAATGCCGCATCTGTCCTTTAAGTAAGGTTATAGAGACCGTCGATTGTTACCGGATATTTATAGATTTGGCAGAAAACTTTCACGAAGAATATGCAATTTAATTTAATTAGCAGATCATCGTGATAAATCAATAATTAAATTCTAATTTTAGCTAATCACACCAAATATTTGATCGCAAAAAGAGGTCATTTGGATGCGATAGGCCTACCGCTTAAATTGAACCCTGTTACTAGTTGTTTGGATTGCTGGTCTGCAGTAGTCTTTATAATGCTAAACAAATGTTGACACTGTACTTTAAATGAGTTTTCTACAAAATTCAGATCACTTTATTTTCCTGTTATCCTTCTTAAAAGAGAAACCGAAATAGCTATTGATTTCTGTGAGACGAAATTTCCCTGATTGCCAAATTAAACCGTATGTACTTTGGGAAAATGGTAAAGTCTCAAACGCTAATTTCACTTGACAGGTGAACGTTGACGACCTTTTCACATTATTGCGGTCAATTTAAGTTAAGTTGTCAAACGTATATAAGTACAAATTTTGCTATCTTTGTAAACATGGCATTACTTGGGGGCTGAAATTGTTATCCTTTCAAATAATGCAATTTATCGAAACTAAAATTGTTATCCTAAATTATAGCTATTAAAACAGAACATTATGACATATGTCGACTATTGGAGCTGAAATGGTTGTCTTTGTAAAATATGCTATTTAATTTGAACTGAAATGGTTATCCTTGTAAAATATGCCAATTAATTTAAAAAGAAATTGTTATCCTTGTAAAATATACCAATTAATTTAAACTGAAATAATTGTTATCCTTGTAAAATATGCCATTTAATTTGAACTGAAATTGTTATCATTGTAAAATATGCAATATAATTTGAACTGAAATTGTTATCCTTGTAAAATATGCCAATTAATTTAAACTGAAATAATTGTTATCCTTGTAAAATATGCCATTTAATTTGAACTGAAATTGTTATCATTGTAAAATATGCAATAGAATTTGAACTGAAATTGTTATCCTTGTAAAATATACCAATTAATTTAAACAAAAATTGTTATCCTTGTAAAATATACCAATTAATTTAAACTGAAATAATTGTTATCATTGTAAAATATGCAATAGAATTTAAACAGAAATTGTTATCCTTGTAAAATATACCAATTAATTTAAACTGAAATAATTGTTATCCTTGTTAAATATGCCATTTAATTTGAACTGAAATTGTTATCCTTGTAAAATATGCCAATTATTTTAAACTGAAATTGTTATCCTTGTAAAATATACCAATTAATTCAAACTGAAATAATTGTTATCCTTGTAAAATATGCCATTTAATTTGAACTGAAATGGTTATCCAAATATGCCAATTGATTTGAACTCAAATTGTTATTCTTGTAAAATATGCCAATTAATTTGAACCGAAGTGGTTATCCTTTCAAAATATGCCAATCAATTGAAATATTAGCGATTATTCAGCCAACTAAAATTGTTATTCTTGTGGAATATTGATGATTAATAGAAAACGAAATTGTTATCGCTTTATAATTTTATGTTATCTTTCTAAAATATGGCTAATAAAAGTGGTAGATTATTATACTTGTAATATATTGCGATTTAACGAAACTGAATTCGCTGAATCCATAACATGACATGATGCTATGATTAGAACAGAAGGTTGTTATCCTTGTAAAAAAATGTGTCACTTGATGTGACGATCGTAAAATTGTTATCATTGCAGGGCGTTCGCAGTTTTAATTGTTATCAAGTTGTTGAAAATAGCAATTAGTCGGAACTCAATTATTATTTTATAGCTATAACATAATGACAACCGGGACTTAAACGGTGGTTCAACTCGATATGTGGGGTTCCATGTACTTCAATTGGTTACAATTGGAGCCACTAGCCGGGATTTTTTTAATTGCTCTCCCGCATTTTTTCTGGGGTCGGTGCCCTCTTAATGGTAAGGGCCTGTGGACTTGGTTCAACCCATCCTTACGGTAGTTGAAATGAAATGAAATGAATTTAGTTTTACTTCCAAATGGTGCAATGAGGGAAATTTGGCCAGAGCAGTGGCATTAACCTGTTCTTTTTCGACTGCCAGCTGTCGAGGGATCTTTTACGTACACGGCCTGTAGCACACGCCAGGGCCAAGGTTTATTGTCTCGACGCTTTATCCATGTCAGCCCTTCTTACCTCTATCACTGACAGAGGGAAACCGGGTTGAAAAATGAAAAGGTATTATCTCGACCTATGCCGGGATTGAACCCTGGACTTTCAGGTTAGCGAGCAAGCGGTTTATTCACTGAGCCACTGCGACATCCCTCTAAGATAGTTGAGCCGCACTGGCTTTTAAGTTTTTTTGTGACGTTATAACCGAAACTAAAGTAGTTATACATAATACTTATAACGTAATGATTAATCGGAACAGGAAGTTGTTATCTTTATAAGGAATGTGGTAGTTTATTGGCGACTGAAATTGTTATCCTTGTAAAATATGAATATTTGTTCCTTTTACTGCCAGGAAACTAGAATAATTTGCTTCTATAATTTAACAGAAATTTGTTTACGTCAATATATATGAAGAACTATATCGAGTTGAACGATTAAATATTCTTATACTTTGGAATTCCTAAGAGAAAGATGAAGGTAATAAATGGACATTATCAACTTTTCGGAATATAAGCTTGTCTGTTTTATGTAAATGATGCTTGCGTTATAATTAAGTTAGTCTTTTTTATTCCGTGGAGGCAACGTCTTAAATGAACACGATATTATGGAAAAGGAGTCAAAATCGTCAGTTATAATGATGTTATGTGCATTTGGTGTTGAAAGTGCAAACTAATGAGGTAAGCTTTATTGAATTGATATTTCAACTCAACTCATTTAAAAATTTATGCTACTTTCACTAGCAAAAATGCGTTAGATGCATTCTCCGACTTCCTAGATTAGACAATTTTTACAGGCCCCCCTGGCCCTCCCCCTATAGCGACTAGTAAATTAAAATCCATAAGGAAAGACGAGGTACTAGGGTG